GGCCCAGCTTCCAGGGCCTCCTTTGGATGGTACAGAGGCAGCAGAGTGCTGATAACAGTTTGATGGCTGGCTGTCCAGGGGAAAAGAGCCCTGGTTTGTACTGTTGGCCAATTTCTATGGTGTAAATACTCCCACCACGGTCACAGAACGTGGAGATGGGAAGGGATTCCTAGCAGCACACAGTTATGTGCTGGTCTCACATCCAGGTACAAGGATATAAACAACCTCAAGGGTGTAGATTACAGAAATGCAGACAAATAATTGTGAAGTGATGAGTTTTGAGTATTTATTACCCTTCTTCTTAATTTAATTTATTGTATTGTTAGTTGATGTGATTAATTTTAAAAAGGGCTATGTTTAACAACTGGCTTGAACTAATTTTGAAATTTTAACACTCAGCTCTCAAGAGCTGGCATGAGCTGGCCTCCACCCATGTTGTCTGCCCTGTGAGGCCTGAGGACTGAGGGGTGACAGGGCCTTCCGTTTAAGCCCCACCCTCCCCACACCTTCAGGGAGAAGCCAGGTGTTCCAACCAAGCTGGTACCTCCAGGTCTGCCCCTTGCCCGCTCCCTGCAGCATACCTTGCGAAAGCTTGGCGGCCCGCAGGAAGAAGTTCTGCTCATTGAACAAGCGCCCATCCTTGGCATCCTAGTAGGGCGCAGGGGAGGAGGCTGTCACCCTGGAACCTCTTAGACAAGGGGTCCCAGGTCACCACTGCTGGCCAAGTGTTACCCAAGGGTAATGGCAGCAACAACTCAGGTTCCCGGCAAGTCCCCAGGGTGCCACACGAGGACCTGAATCGGAGACTTCAGGTGACCGCCCATCGCCCAGGTTCCTTTCCTTTCTTTTATGATGGGACCTGTAAGTTTTCCCCAGACACGGCCTTCCGCTGGAGACTAGATTCCTGAGCCTCCGCTGAAGTGAGGAAGGACCACAGGGCAAGTTCTGGCCAACGGGGAGGTGAGCAAAAGCGATGTGGGCAGCTCCCGGGCTATGCCCTCAATGGGCTGGGCAGGCTCTCTCCTTCCTCTCTGTCCCTGTGGCTGGAATGCATACGGACAGCGGGAGCGGGAGCAGCCATTTCAGCCCACAGATGGAGGTTATGGGCTGAGGATGCTGGAGCAACAAGAGAGAAGGAAACTGGGCCCCTTGGTTATGGAACCGTCATATCAGCCCTGGACCACTGTCCCAGACTTCTAAGTGAAAGAGAATAAAATAGTACGTTTGCTAAGACCACTGTTAATACTGGGTCATTTTCCCCCAGCAGTAAAACCAAATATATTGTTTAAATACAACCAGTACAACTGATTTCATAAGAGCATAGGGTCAAAGAGAAGTCGTTTCAGAACCCTCCCTCCCTTTCTTTCTATAAAGCACCTACTATGTGCTGAGTATTGTTCTGGGCACTGGAGATACAGCTGTGAACAAAGAATCGTGAGTGCTGGATTCCCTGGGGAACAAGGTAACTACCCCACAGGCTTGCTTGGAAACGCTCAGCCCAGAGTCGGGCACGGAACAGGCGCTCACCAAGCAGGCGCTATTACTTATCTGTGAGCCTGGCTCCGGAACCCTCGCTCTAAACCACTCACATGGCCTCCATCCATCTAGGGCAAAAGAGGGACCCAATCCAGCTGCCCCAGTTTTCCCGGGGGGTGAGAATAGGTAAGAAAATATGAAGAAATAAAAGTCACCCAGGATCCCAGCACTCGCGCCCTGGCCGGTGTGGCTCAGGGGAGACTTGGAGGTTCCTCTCGCCTCCCCAGGTACTGATCCCTGGGCACTTCCTCATAAACACAGAGCACACAGGGTCTGGGGTTTGAGTCCCGGTCAAGGGCGCGTACCTGGGTTACAGGTTTGTTCCCCAGCCCTGGTTGGGGTGTGTGCGGGAGGCAACCAATCCATGTGTCTTTCTCACATCAATATTCCCTCAACCAATCGATGTGTCTTTCTCACATCAATATTGCCCCCTTCCCCCGCCCCCTGCCCCTCCCTTCCACTCTCTCTAAAAATCAATAGAAAAATACCCTCAGGTGAGGACTAACAAGCAATCCCGGCATCAGGGAAGGTGGTGGGGCCCGACCCACCCATGCCCTTTACTAGGCGCCTCCTCCAGGCGGAATGACGTGACTGGCCTGGCTGCTCTCACTTCCTCCGTTTATTTTTTTCTTTCTGGCCCCTCGAGTGCGTGTTTCCTGTGTTCTAAAAGGTCAGGCATGACCTCCCTGACTCCTCAGCACAGGCACCCCATCTGATTGGTTCTCTGCTGAGCCCCAACACCCAGCACGGTTTCATATTATGGTTGGTGCTCAGTAAATACAGCTGTGAGGCAGGCAGTAGCGGGCAGACGGGCCACCTGACCTGGCTATTCCTGGCTCCACCTCCCAGGTGAGGAGAGTCATCTCAGAGAGGGATTCCCTGGGGAAGCCCGGATCGCAGAGCTGGGAAGTGTGAGAGGCAGGGCCTCGGAGGGCCCTGGGAGATGAAGAACCTGAGGCCCGGCCCAGGCCCACTGCCCCTGGCTCTCCTGCCTGCCCCAGCCCACAGAGAGGCTTGGAGATCCAGGGTGCACTTGCCAAAGCCCCAGACCCTCCCTCAGCGCGTCCCTCCCCGGCCCAGGGAACGCCCCCAGGCCCACTCACTAGTTTCAGCGTGAATCTTTGTTTCTGGGCACTCGAATCGGAGGCGGAGACAGACTCAGCTGTAGACGGACAAAATGAGTGAGGTTATGACCTACAGCCAGCATGTCAAACTCGCCGCCCGCCTGCAGCCGGCTCGCTGCGCGTCTGTCATGCTTGATCCACAGGGAGAGTGAGCGCAGCGTCCGCAAACTTCCCAGGGACAGGCAGCAGCGCTGGTTCCCTGGTTCCCACGGGGCCCAGCGCATCCTCGGTTTCCAAGAGCTGCTCCTCCGTGTTTTCAGACAACTTCCTTTTCTCTGCCTCCTTCTCTCTGGGGCTACCCAGCTATGAAAGGGTTATGAACACAGCAGCTCTCAGACTGCTCTCCTTGGAAAAGCCTGCTGCAGGGCGCCCCTCGCTGGATGTCGGGAGGGTCCCACTCTGTACCCAGTCAGAGGGGCTCCCTGTGCCCACACCTGTGCTGAGCACCGGCTTTCCTGCAGTGTCTGGACTGGTGGTGTGTCCAGCAGGGGGCCTCCATGACAGCCCCAATATAAACCCTGGTGCCGTCTCTCTAATGAGTGTCCCGGGTCAACACCAGGCCACACGTGCTGTCCGCCTCAGTGCGCATGTGGGACTCCACGGGGAACGGGCCCTGACGTTGCGCTGGGTGGCCTCCCTTTGCCGACTGCTGGTCCTCTCCCTGTGATGGATCTCGGCGTGAGAGGCCTGTGGCCCTCCTAGAGCAGCGGTTCTCAGCCTGTGGGTCGCGACCCCTTTGGCGGTCGAACGACCCTTTCACAGGGGTCGCCTAAGGCCATCCTGCATATCAGATGTTTACATGACGATTCATAACAGTAGCAACATGACAGTTATGAAGTAGCAATGAAAATAATGTTATGGTTGGGTCACCACATGAGGAACTGTATTTAAAGGGCTACAGGTTGAGAACTGCTGTCCTAGTGCGTCCCTGAACCTAGGTGGTCCTGGGGACCCTGACAAACTCTCTGCCTTTGTCTACATGTAGGGGTAAGTGCCATGTGAGGGAGGCAGCTCCCCTTCCAGGAGGACTTGTTGCCTTAGCCCAGCCCCACCCCACTCATCATGGGCAGCCTTCAGCCCCTCAGGGATCCCTCAGCTGCAGATCCAGGGCGGCCCATAGGCTGGTCACGGGGATCTAAAGGCCCAGCCCTGCTGGCCTGGCATGGGACCTGATGAAGGACCACCTCTGCCCCGGAGCCCCCAGGGGCCAGCTCAGGCTGCACCGAGGCCTCTGCAACAACCCCTCCTTCCTCCCCCCTCCCCGGGTACTGATCCCTGGCACTTTCTCATAAGCACTTTGCGTGCTGCCCCATTCTGCATCACTGTAAACCCTGCAACGTCTCCGGCCCTGTGCTAAGTGTGTGCTTTACACACACCCTTTCCTTTAACACTCAGGACAGCCCTAGCAAGCAGGTCTACTAATATATTATTACTGTTGCTGCCGTTGTTAGCGCCACCTGACAGATGAGATGTGAAAGCTAAACCTTAGCAAGGCCGCGCCACAAGGGAGGCTTTGTGCCAGGCCACAGCTCGTGAGGAGCAGAGCTGCCCCGGCCCGGGCCTAGCTCATCCTACAACCCGTGAACTGAGCCATCGCCGGTTGTCCCAGCAGGCTCTCTGCGTCCTCCCTCTTTTTCTCCCTTCGTGCCCACCCTTCCTTCGTCAGCCTGGTTGTCAGATTTCCGGAGCCAGACGCTGGCTAGTTATTCCCATCTCTGGGATTCGTTTTCCTCGTCTATAGAATGGGGATAAGGACAGTGCTGATGTCCTCAGACTGTTGTAAGAATCAGGTGCGTTAAGAAGTACATTGGCCCTCTGCATTGGCGGGTTCTGCATCTGTGGATCCAACTAACTGCTGACTGAGAACGTTTGCAGGGTGGGATGAGGGATAGGGAGTTATATTATTGCTGAGTGTATTATGCAGTGAGGCGAGGATGGTCTGTACCGAGCATGTACGGATGTTTTTTCCTTGTCGTTATTCCCTAAATAATGCAGTATGAATTTACTCAGCACTTACACTGTACTAGGCAGGAGATTTAGAGATGGTTATGGGAGGATGTGCACAGGTTACACGTGAACGCTACGCTATTTTATATGAGGCATTTGAGTATCCTCCAACTTTGGTACCCGCAGGGGATCCGGGAAGCTACCTGCGGATCCCAAGGGTCGGCTACATGAAGCAAACCTGTTAGCGTATAGGCCTGTACACAAATGCTGACACCACAGCCAGAAGTGGAAACGACCCAAACGCCCGCCCACTGATAAACGGATGAACCAAATGTGCTAATACACACACCCTGGAATGCTGCGCAGCCACGGAGCGGAAAGAAGCATTGGCCCACGCTACGACATGACGGGCCGTGAAAACATCATGCTAAGGGGAATGAGCCAGACACCAAAGGCTACACAGCATATCCCTCCATTTGTCTGGCATGTCCAGAACGGGCAAATCCAGAGAAAAGAATAGATTAGTGGATCCCTGGGATGGAAAGGGGGAGATAAGAGTGACTGCTAAAAGGTATGGGGCTGCCCTGACCGGTTTGGCTCAGTGGATAGAGAGTTGGCCTGAAGGGTCCCCGGTTCGATTCCCAGTCAGGGCACATGCCCGGGTTGCAGACTCCATCCCCAGTAAGGGGCATGCAGGAGGCAGCCGATCAATGATTCTCTCATCATTGATGTTTCTATCTCTCTCTCCCTCTCCCTTCCTCTCTGACATCAATAAAAATATATTAAAAAATAAAAGGTCCGGGGCTTCCTTTTGGGGTGATGGAAATGTTCAGGAATTAGATCGTGGTGATAGTATATAACACTGTGATTATACTAAAACCCACTGAATGGTAGATTTTCAAATGGTGAATTTTTATGTTGTATGAATTTTATCTCAACTAAAAGAAAGCATGACCCCCCACGCCAGAACTGCATGAAGTGCTAAGCACAGGGTCTGGCTTTGAGTAAGTATTCAGTAAATGTTAGGGTGATAATTACTTACACTTCCAGCAGTTATTTTCTTCGTTGTAACAAAGTGTCCATTTTTTTTTTAAATATATTTTATTGATTTTTTACAGAGAGGAAGGGAGAGAGATAGAGAGTTAGAAACATCGATGAGAGAGAAACATCGATCAGCTGCCTCTTGCA